TTCGATCTATGTTGTCCCTTGGCATCCGTCACATCAAGTTTCCACATTTTTGCTTGCATTCCAAGTGTAGGCTGCGCTTTTGGTTCTGTACAGTGACATGTGTAACATCGTGCTGGTGGTGTACGTCCTGAATCACCTTCTAAATTCGTATCCATGGTAGTTTATCGATGTTTATGGTACAGTAAAGTCCTGCAGGGTGTTTAGCAATGGCCGTGTGAGACGTTACACTCCTGCCAACCCTTTATTCTGGGTTTGCAGCTGTTACTGCGAATCGGCGAAGGCTCCTTGACAACCCTGTTCTGCGATTTTCGCGGTTTCGATAGCCGCTAGCCCCTAAACCGAAGCCAGACCGAGCAGAATACAACTTAGCACCTCCGAGTATGTAACCTCTACCCTGTTTTGGCTACACCAAGGTGTGCTGTTTCAGGGCCAGGCACTGCTATTGGGCTTGAATACCCTAGTTAAATCTGCACACATCCAAATCCTAACATCCATAAGCCATAACGTGGCTTTCGAGCAGGGGGCCAGCCCGCTTCAAGCTGACGACGACGGCAGGACGGCCCAAACACTCGATTCTTAGACCTACACCCCCAAGCGTAGAACGCGTTGAACGTGCTGTTCCAACCTTTGCTGCGCAAGTTCATGCAACTTCGACTTCGGTCTTACATTTTACGAACCTGTCGGCAATGGCCAAGATCCGCGCCGTGCACGTAAATGTCCATGGCCTCGTGGCTGATCTTACCCAAAGGGTCCAAAGTACCTGTATGGTAGAATGTCGGGTTTCTGTATTGGGAATAACTATTATGATTTGGGGAAGTATCCCCCATAACAGTACCTAGGACCCTTTGGGTTAGTATTCTTGCATTGCACAGGTCTCCTGACTCAACATCTCTGAACTAAACCTAAGTCGGGAAACTGCCAACACCGTGCTCCTCCAACTGCGAGGTGCTAAAGCCTTGGCCCTGAACGGTCGGTTGATTGTTTGTTGTATAGACCGGATATGCACAAGGGTAGTTGTCAAAATTATGGTCCCTTTTGGGTCCCGATTAGAACACGGCAGCCAACAAGGGACCCTAATTTTGACAATCACCCACAAGGTGCCCCGTGCTTTTGCTAAAGAGGCGCAGTCAACAGAGTTGCTACCCACACGGCCATGACACCGAAGCAACTCCAACAATCCCGAAGGCTGTAAGCCGCGAGCGGCCTATTCCCCACTTGAGAACTTTAAGCCGCAGCCCAAACACCCCAAAAGACAAAACAACATTGTTTTGGGACTGCACGAACCCTCTGAGGGTTTAGGGCTTAGGGCCGCCTCAACACTGCAAAAACCTAAAACCCAAGCCCAAAAGCGAGGACGGCTCTGGACTATGCGCGCGAGTCCGGCAGTCGGGCGGTCCGAATCTCGCGTTCTCATTTTTAACGGGTATTTGGGGAACTATCTTAGGTGCATGATGCTCGTCTTCAGTGTCTCCGGGACTAAGATTTTAAAGGGTGTGGGCTTTAGGCTCCGGGGTTTGCAAGCCTTAACCACAGGGCTGCGGCTAAGGGGTGCCTCCAGGGTTCAGCAGGTCTTGAGGTCTTAGCTCTGCGTGAGTTGGCTGCGTTTTTGTGTTTTTTTTAACCCTAAACCCTAAACCGGGGGGGGGGGGGGGGGGCGCTGTTGTGCTTTTGCTCCTTTGCTGATGCTTCTTTCATGTGCTGTTTCTGACTGAATCAGGTTTGCTCGGATTTGGGTTGAGGATCGGCAGAGCATGCCCTGAGAGCCCAATACCCCTTAATAGGACTCCTTTAAAGAGGTCTATAAGGGTTACTATAAGGGATCTATAAGGGATCTATACCCCTTAATTAAGGAATATGGCTTAAAGTATATGGGGCTTCATATTTTTCGATGTAAGCTATATTCCTTAGTTAGGGGATATTGGGCTCTTTGGGTGAATCAGCACAGTGTACGAAAATGCATACCCTGGGCCTGCCGTGTGTTAGGTTGTCGAGGCTCTGAAGCTGTACCAGCCACCAGACCAGGCATCCTGCCAGAGGGGCTTTTGCGGGGGTTGAGGGCTTGTAGGGTTTATCGGGCTTAGGGTTTAGAGTTTAGGGGTTCAGGGTTTATAGGGTTTAGGGTTTGGGGTTTAGGGGCGTATAGGGGTTTAGGGTTTAAGGGGTTGAGGGCTTAGGGTTTACAGTTTATGACAGGTGGGTTTGGAGACGCGCCCTGCAATGTGGTTTTAGAGATTGTCAAGGGTTTCTGCTTCGACCGTCCAGGACTACTTGGAGGATCAGCGGACTCGAGGGTTTAAGGGTTTAGGGGTTTGGGGTTCAGGGTTTATCGTTACATTTGGGCTATAGCACCTGAATAGGGATTGTAGCTTAACAAAGCTGCACGGAGCACTGCAGAAGCAAAGACTTTGTCGCCGGTTCGTCGCCATGTCGTACACACATTTGTCTAGATTTCGTGAAACGAGCCAGTGCCTGAATCTTAACAGTAGCTGCCGAGCCAGCCAGCTTCCAAGACGGCGTCGGCTTCATCACTCGTACTTCTCGTTTAAAGTCACCATCTTAATTAAGGCCGTGGCGCGCCGAATCAAACAGGAGCTCCAGAAAATAAAGGACCCCAAGCTAAACCCTACATAACAGCATCCTGGTTACTGTTACAACTTTAAGGGATATCCGAATCGGAAACTCGAGCTGGCCCAACCTGCGCAGAGCAGCCGCCAGGGCTTCGACGATCTCGACCGGGACCGGGTTCGGGCTTCGGGATTGCTTAAAGGATCATGGGACATAGCAAAGAGGGTTATAAGTACCTAGTTAGGGACTATAGTTACCTTACTTATAAGCCTACTTACGCATCCCATGATCCTCCAAGTGGAAATTTGCCTAGATCTGAGAGGGTCCAAGCAGTACAGACGTGGTGGAGCAATTGCTTGTGAGATTCGTACTTAGTCGGTGATTGTCGGGGGACACGAGACCTTCGATCGTAGACCCATAAAGCAGACCACGAGCTCAGAAGCAAGTTCTTGTAGGGCCTGTGTTTCAGGAGTGCCTTGTTTAAAGCCACACCCCGCCTGCACTCCCCACCACTTCAGAAAAAAGCAGGAGAAGAGGTCTAGAGGCAGAGAGTTTGTTGAAAGAGTCAGGGTACCTGGTAAGTAGGGTTATAAGCAAGGTTGACTATGGTGGTATCATATCTACTTGTAACCCAAATTACGGTACTGATAATCCTACCAGCTCAGCCCCATGACATGATATCCTCCAAGTGGAGTTTAGCAGCCAATCCTAAGAAGAGGGGTCGCATGGATATTGGGATACGAGGTCTATGCTTGACTATGCATGGAGGTCGAATTTGTTTCGTTTCGATCGCTGCCCACGAGGCCATGCTTAAACAGGAAGAAGCAACGAACGAAAGGGATACAGAAAGATGTGAAGCAAGACGTGTTGTTGTCATGCTGCTTCGGAACCGTGGACTCAACACCCTGAGAGCAGTCTTGTCTTGCAACCAGCCTAGCGCAACTCCTGAAGGGCAAACCTGAAATCGTGAAAGCCTGTTAGTTAAAAGGCCAAGACCCTACCAGCCCAAAGGGTCCTAGGTACTGTTATGGGGGATACTTCCCCAAATCATATTAGTTATTCCTAATATAGAAACCCTACATTCTACCATATAGGTCCTTTGGGCAAAGACCGCAAGCCAAGCAGGAATGATTGCTGATGGCATCCAAAGAACTTCTCGGGCCAAATGCACAGAAAGTCGTACCGGGGTATACTTTTCGGAGGCTTGGGGTGCCGAATTTAGCTCCGAGCAGCGGGCCTGCATAGTGGAAGTACAAAGAAGCACTACTGCTTGGGGTACTAATGCTACTATTAATAGTAATATTAATACTAATAGTAATATCAATACTATTATTAATACTAATACTAAGATTAGTAAATTCGTAGGGTTCGGGAATGAAGTTGCAGTCTAGGCACCCTCAAGGCTCCATTTCCAACTACCCAGGCTTCTATAGCATCGGCTGTCGTATTTTAGGGTGTTGCAGTGCGGAGTCGACTGACTGCTGGTTAGGCTTTCGTTTCTGCGTTTCTTTTTGTTTTTTTTTGGTTCATATGGCTCGAGCCATAGCTTAGACTTCTGAGGTTTGCAGTGTAGTCTAGTCCAAGCTTGTCTTGTGATGTTCGGAATGTACCTTGGGCCTTGGGGCTAGCGCTTCACCTCAAGCCCTAAAGTCAAATGTGTCACATTGGGGACGAAACGAGAGAACTTGCGGCTCCTCTTACTACTACTACTACTACGACTACTACTAGTAGTAGTAGTACTACTACTACTACTACTACTACTACTACTACTACTACTCCTGCTGCTGCTGCTACTACTACTACTACTACTACCACGACGACTACTACCACCACTACTACCACCACGACTACTACTCCTACTACCTGCTGCTGTTCCTATTACTCCTCGACTTGCAAAAGCTGGCAAAGCTTTGATGCAGAGAGCACAGTCCAGTGGACCCAGAAAACCCGTCCCGGCTTGGTCTTGGCTTGGAATTCATGACTGTTGGGTTCTTGCTAAGGAACTGCATGTATAAGCAAACCCTATTAGCGACTGTATATCCCTACTACGGTAGCTTCGCTGAAACTCTTGAACAAGAGCCCTGACTGCCTCTCTCAACTCTGCCGCTTGATTGTTCCAGCCGGGCTTTCGGCAATCTCACATGTGCAAGCCACCTGTTCTGCCAGCAGCACCAAAGTTTTACCCCATGCAAACCCACAAAGCATGAAGTCATTCAGAGGGGAAACAAGAAACCGGAAGAGCTAGCATGCATCCAAGCGGCAGAGTGTCTAAAACATGAGAATGAGGGCTTCCAAGCAGCAAAGCCAAACAAACTAGTATTCTTCTCGCGGCGAACGGCTTAGAGCTGAGGACACTAGTCTGGTGCTCCAAACACCATCTTTAGGAGGGGACTGCTTTGTAGTGGTGGTCGTCCTCTCCACACTTCTCAAGCGCCATGCGCTCCTTGCCGTTCGACGCCATCATGCACTCTGCAACAGAGGCCATGCGCCCTATCAACCACACACACACACCCCTAAATCCTACTATAGACCTTGAACCCCTAAACTTCTGAACCCCTAAACCCTAAACCCATAAACCCAAAACCCTAATCCTTCCGAGCAGTACAGGGCTGATGAAGTGGTGTTGCGGTCCTTATACTCGCACTGAAGGAGGTCCATGCTTTGGTCTCTTAAGATCTGCAGACACAACTGGCATGGAAAGCGCCTATACGGTTTAAAGTTTACAGAGATGTTTTCTTTCAAGTCTCGGGGTGTTGGTCTTGGGTTTGGCGGGAGAAGAATTTTCGCAATGGTATGTCTGTGCAAGGGGCCTGAGCATCCTCCGCTGGCGGGGCCACGCAACATGCATCTGATTGTGCCTAAAGTCTCCATTGTATGTAGTTCCTTTTTTGGGGAAGCCAAAAACTATATTATAGGATCCTAACCATAAAACAGGTTAACCAAAACTACAACGGAGACTATAGGTACCTTGATTCCCTCCCCCAACGAAAAAATCCGCCTCTTACCTGGAGCCAGATCATGACACCGCTCCCTGCGCGAGCTCGGGCGAGCATGTTCTTGGAGGCGGTGCCTGGTAGTTCGGGATTTCGGGGCTAGGATGGTGAAGCCGGCATCAATGCCCCGACGGCGCTTATACCTACCTGCTACTTAAAGAGATACCTTGAAGTGTCATGGGGTTCCTGAATGGGGGGATCCTTCACCTGAACTCTCGTCGCCAGACCCGACGTTTTCGATGCTTTAGTTTGGTTTACTATCGCCAGTCCTGAAATCCTTAGCCCCCACACTGGCCACAAAAAAGAAACTAAGTCGCACGAAAACCAGCGACAGCAAAAGGACCGTAAACCCAGATGTACAGCCTTAACACCCCGAAAACTGTGTGGCGTTTACATGTCCCAACAACAACTTTGGAAGTACTCAACGAGCAAACCCTGGAAGGCATCAATCCGGTTTCAAGGTTTGGGTCCCATTTTTACTTCGTCAGCCCTAAACCTGAAACCGTGATTTATTATTGGGTGTTGGGTTCCCTGTGGGCTGATCCAATTTCATCCTGGAGTCTGTTGAAGAACGACCAGGTCACCCCGGCAATGTCAAGACGACACCACTCGAACCTTGGCTTGGGGTTGAGGTTTGGGGTTTAGGGTAGATGTCCTCCTCACTAATAACACGATCCAGCATTGTAGCCAATCAAGAACTAGAAGTACAGTCTTCAGTTCTTGAAGGCACTTTTTGCTGGCTAGATATACTACTATCGTATGCCCGGGACCCAAAAAGATATGATTGCTTCCGGTTCAGATTTCACCCGTCGTGGGTTTTGTAGATTCTTTTCTGCCGCTCAGCCGATGCACATGGGTGTACTAAAAGGATGAGGGTACTTAGTGAATCGGTCCTGAAGCTACAGTAGATGATACTTATCACTGCCAACCCGAACCTGCATCCTCAATCGTGCCACAAGCCGAAGCGCCCCATTCTCATCCCTTCTTGTACGAAGCGCTTTTTCCGAGATCCGTTGGACTTCTAATGTCGCGGCCTTAATTAATCAGAATAGGGTTTTGGGGGTATATTACACTATAATTAAAACTACACCCATAACCCTGTTCTAATTATTGAGGTCCCTGTATTAAACCCACCCCCTCCACCTAAGAGGGTGCAAAACCTGAACAGGAAAGGGCCACGGGTCATGCTAACCCTGAGCCCTAAGTGCAAGCCCGAAGCATCCCCGCTGATGCTTTCGTAATCCTGCCTACTTGATGCATATTGCGCTTTTGGAAATCATCGGTTCGATACCGGTGCGTTTACATCTCTGAAGCGGGTGGGGTTCCCTTTCAGGCCCCAGGCACAAGTAGGGAACTCTTGGATTTGCGCACAGCTGTAGAGTAGCGATTTCTTGGCTACCGGGAGAAGAGTAGTATTTGCAGAAAGAAAGAGATCGAAACAGCACGGCGAACCCTTAAAACTTCAACCCCGAAGCCCTCAACCCTAAACCCTTGAAGACGACACCCGAACTGCAGCACTCTGGCCGAGGACGCCGCTTGCGTCTTTTCTGGAAAGACATCCTCGATCTGCCAGCTCCTTCGACGAGGACCGGTTTTGTTAGGGTTAAAATAGGGGCCTGAAAATTTACCAATACTATTTTGGGGGTTCCTTAATCATAATTATTAGTATAATGGGCCCCAAAACGCTGCTCTAAATGTTAAGGCCCCTATATTAGGTGGGCCGATTTAGGGGTTTAGGGTTTGGGGCCGGGGTCAAGGGTTTAGGGTTCAGGCTTTGGGGGTTAAGGTTTCTTAGGGTCTTAAAGGCAAAAGCATGCACACACGCTGTTAGAGCCCAGATAGTAACGGATAGTGCCTCAGAGAAAATGTGTTTGGGTGCTTTGTGTACCATCGTGGTTACGGCTCACTAGTGACACTAGTGCTAGCATGCTAGTATGTGGCATTATCTTGTGACTATTGTTTGTGTTTACGACTTACTATGATTGATGATCGTGGATGGTGATGATGATGTTGATGCTTAAGGCAGGGGAGACTACACCCTAAACCCTGAACCGCGTGCCATCAGCGAGGTTGCTCCATAGACATCATTACCCTTATTGTTGGTCTTGTCGTTTACCTGGAGGTTTGCGTTACGATGACATGAAGACCCAACCTCGACCTTACTTCGTAAACTCTGAGATCCTGAATCCCCAACCCGCCGAGCCTGCAGGCCATAAGCCCTTGGCTCCAAACCCCCAACCCACCAGACACACCCCCAAACCCTAAACCCAAACCCCGAAACCCTGCAAGGCACGCTACACCTTAAATCCTATCATATATGCCCCTATAGATCCCTTATAGTAGCCCTTGTAGTAGCCCTTGTAGATCCCGTATAGTAGTCCTTATAGTCCTAACATCCACACGACACGAGGATGCGGCCCAGGAGGCCCAGGACAATGAAACGGGCGTGGTGACGGTCCAGCAACATGACTGCGGGCTCCATGGCTGCTACTATATGGGTTTAGGGTTTAGGGTATAGTACTTTGTTGGTGGGGCCATCTTGGGGTGGTGTGGGATATATTGCCGAGGGGGTTTCAGAGAGAGAGGGTCGTGAGGACTGCTCACTCCGAAACGTAACAGAATCCCCAGAGCCACTTTAAACTAGACCTAGCCCCTTCACCCAGAGTGTTTGGGCAGGTACTGCTTGGGCACGGGCGAAAAGCGCTGCTGTGAATTTCAAGAGGAAGGCTGGGTTAGGGCTTATAGGGCTTTGGGTTCGGGAATTGGGGTTCCTTTTGAAGGGTTGAGATGTTTAGCGCTGTGTTATGGCCGTATAATCAACAAACCTCAAAAGCCGTCCGAAACCCTATGTGCCAACAAGCTCGATGGCACACGGCAGCAAAGACCCTAAATAGGTCTTGTTTGGAAGCTTTTGCGTCGAGGTTGAGAGTTGCTTTGAGTTGTTGGAGCTTTCAGGGTTTATAGGTGGCAATTTGGGAAACTTGTTCATTTCCCTTATGGTTCCTATAGAGCTACCTATTCATAAATACCTTACGGAGCCCCAAAACTACAACGCAGTTGTACTAGGACCCAGGGTAGGCCCTTATTCCCTTTTTGAGGGTTTAGGTTCCCTTATAACCTGCTTTAACCCAAAAAGGGCACCCTTCTTGTTCCTAGGTTACTCGTAGGTCTAGTATAGGGTGCAAGGGGCCTCGGATTCCGACAGTTTCAGGCTCGGGACCTGGAGGAGCCCCCAAAATATACCCTTTGTTGTAGTATCCTTAAGGGAGGGGGGTCCAAGGGGGGTATATAGCCTAGTGAACCCTAATTCTCCCTAGTACTCCCTAAGGTTCCCTTAGAGCCCCCCAAAGATTCCTTGTACCCTCCCCCCTTGAACCACCCTCCCTTAAGGATCCTATAACTTTGCCAGACTGAGTACCCACTACCCTAAGGCCCTAAAGTAGTTCCTTTTGGGGGTTCATATGGGAGTTTCCGAAAATAGGGGACCCTAATATAGGACCATACATAGTAGGATCCCTATTATAAGGGCGCCAAAATAAGGTACCCCCAATTTTTTGGAAACTCCCATATGTAGAATCCTATGAGGTAATCCCAAAAAAGGCAACTACTTTGGGGCCTAAGGGTATGAACGACCATGAATGCTCTAAAGGCGACTTTTGGGGGTCCTGGCAAGGTTCGGGGTTTACAGTAGAAGCCAGAAAGTTGGAATATCATTATCGTAACCCCTTTAAGGTAAATTATAGGGGATCCTACCATTAATCCATATTCCAACTTTCTGGAGTTCCCTTTAAGCGGTAGCTTGCGGAGCTTGTGCGGGTAATGGTGTCAAGTGGCAGGTACCTGCACCAACTGCTGCAAAGAGCACTTCACCACCGACCTATACTGCAGGATGAACTGCGCCAGGCTCGGCTTTAGGATAGGGTTTAGGGTTATCTGGGCAGAGGCTGTTGGTTATGGCTCCAGGCATGCACTTGCGTAACTGCCGAACGGGGTTTTGCATAGATTATTCTGTTTATGGGTTGGGGTTGAAATCCACAAGTTGTAACCTTTCTGCTGCTTCATGCATTTTGGCAAACGGCTGGACCGAGAGACCCGATGCCCTGATGCAGCCATCAGACAAATAATGACGTTCCGACAGCTATCAGCGGTCCAAAGCTCTAAAGCACCAAGCCGCAAATCCGAAAGCCCTGACGGCTTTAGGTGGGACCTGATCGGTTTCCTGGAGTCTCGTCGTCCTTTGCAAGCCCGAATACCCCAAGAGCAGTAAGGACCCAAAACCTGCAAAGCAATAGCATCAATAACAGGTGTCTTCATGCCCGGAAGCCCTAAAGCCCAACAGAAAATTCAAGCAACAGATAGTAAGTGCCATCCGTCATCTGAAGTAGAGCCCATGTCAGAGAGTCCTGACCGCCCTGAACCCAAGCCCGTAAACCCCGAAACCCTAAACCCGAGACCCCTAGACCCCTAAACCCCTAAACCCCGAAACCCCTAAACCCCTAAACCCCTAAACCGCTAAACCCCTAAACCCCTAAACCCCTAAACCCCTAAACCCCTAAACCCAAAGTCCCAAGTCTGCAGGATGTGCCGGCGAGGCATCTTTAAGGGGTTCGCTGGCGGCAAGCAGGACGTCCCCGTTTGCCCGGTGGGCGAGCCCAATGAGGCCTCCAATGATCGGGACTTAAAAAGTAGGTTTAGGGTTGAGGGGTTTCGGGTTTAGGGCCTCTGAGTACCTTATAGTTATAAGTATAGATACAGCTGTAAAGCTGTCTTCCCAAAAACGCTACTTACTAAGTCCCATGATTCTCTAGGCCTCTCTGAGGGTCTGGTGGCACGGGCCCAGAGATCCCCAAACCCATTAGTGAGTCGGATGTTGAACTAAATAGGGCTTACCCTAAGGCCCTAAAGTAGTTCCTTTTGGGGGTTCACATGTAGAATCCTATCAGGTAATCCCAAAAAGGAACTACTTTGGGGCCTATGGGTAGGGTTTAGGCTTTAGGGATGCTTCGTGACATGTATCTACAGAATTGGCATAACATGCAACTCAAGGCATGTTTCATTACTCGACTACACCATACTCTAGTATACTATAGCATGTTATGTTGCAATGTGGCATCGTATACTAGAGTATAGTACACTATATTTGCTACAGCATATTCGATTTTTCGTCATGTCATACCTTCATGTGCCCACACCCACCTACCTACCTACCTACCTACCTACCTACCTACCTACCTATGGTTTAGGATGAGGGCTCCATGTTTTGCGCCCAGGCCTGTCTGCTGTTGGGGAGTTGGGATTTGGGCGGGTTGTGTTCTGCTGGGTTCAAAATGTAACGCATTTTGAGATGCACGTAAGGATTAAGGGGTGGTTCGGGTTCAAGCTTCAGATTCAAGAGCTGTTTGGGTGCTTGCTGTTGGTGGGAGGGACGAGATATTGGGAGGCTATAAGCCGTTCTCTGCCCATTGTACCCTCCAGCAGCAGCAGAAGCAGCAGTGGCAGTGGTGGTGGTGGTGGTTGTAATAACAGTAAAACAACAGTAGTAAGAGCAAGACCAGGGCCAGCAGTAGGAGCAGCAACAACAGTAACAGCAACAGCACCACCACCAGCAGCAGCACTAACACAGGCAGCAGCTGCCGCAGTTTCAGCAGTGGCAGTTGCATCCTCCTCTCTTCGCATCCAAGAATCGGTTCCTTAAATCGCTTCCTCTGCAGAGGCAATCCAGACTTTCGACCTCAAAAGTATGAAGACGGCTCTTTGGCTTGGGACTTTCTGCGGGATAGTTTGCGATTTTCATGGCTTGATGGAATGGCTTTGCATGGAACATTGCAAAGTGTTTCGGTTCCAACCCTGGTTCTACGCCGCGCTAGAAATCCTTATTATTGAGGCCCTTAAAGACACTGAGCTTTGAGATTCCTTGCATCCTACAGTAGAATTCTACATGTTTGTCGTTTAAGGTTTAGGGCTCAGTGTCTACCTTAACCCTGAATAACCTACCCTTTGTAGGGCTCCTTATTATGATTTCTTGATATAAGTCCTTAAAAAAGGTATGTTATTCCGGGTTGAGGTAGGTTTAGGGTCCAGATTGGGCTCTTGCTCTTGTAGGTCTTCGACCCGAGGCTGCAGATTTGGGGCTCGTCCTGGGTTTCGGATTGGGCTGAAGGGAGAGATCCTAAGAGCAAGGGCCAAACCTGGACCCTAAACTCTGAGCTCTAAAGCACATCAGAGGTAGGGGGAATTTTGCTTCGGAATGTAGTTGGGTTTAACACGGGTCGTCGGGTCTTCATAGGCCCGACACAACCTTCAGAAGGCTCCATACATTTTGTTAGGAACCCCAAGACGGTCTTCGACAATAAGGAACGCTAAGCCGTTCGAGTTTGCTGATCGCTTCTCACTGGGCAGCTTGTGTTTCAGGATAACGGGGCATCTTATAAGAAGAACTGAGAGTCATGTTGGATGTATGCTGTTGTTCATAATGACTTATCTTGTTTAAGGTGACCGTATAGTGGAGGTCCTGCTGCTCAGGCCATTTAAGGTCCATGTTCCGTAAGGGTCCATGCACCCAATTAACTAGTATATACTTTGCCCTTAAAGTATTCCCTATATAGGTACATTCGGCCCAAAGTATATACTATTTGGGTACATGGACCCTTAGGGGTTGGGGTTTTTCGCTTTTCTGGAAGTGCCTTTTGAAGGCCGTGGAAAACATGATCCCCCAAGAGCAACTGATGTTGTTGTTTGAGAGACAGTCGGTCTAGGGACAACTAGGGTGTAGGGTTCAGGCTTCGAGGTTCTGGATTTTCTGGATGTAGGGTTAGGATGTAGGATTCGGTGTAGAGGAGTTTCGGTTCCAGGGTTTGGGAAGTTTAGGATGTCAGCGGCAGCCAGGCTTTGATAATTTGCGTCAGAAGGTTCTTGCTTGCAGCATTCAGTAGGGTTTGCGCTTTTGCGGTTCAGGGTTTGGGATTCCTGTCGCCAAGGGCAAAATGTCCATCATTCCTGCTGCTTGGCCGCAGAAACCTTCACACCTAGGTCGGGGCCGTGCCTCGGAATCTCCGGGTCTTTGTGGTGTACTACGGCTGATGATAAAAATCCTGCATTACCCATAATAGGGAAGTTGCCATAATTCCCATGGTTTAGGGTCCTTAAGGTAATGCAGGATTTGTATCATCAACAGTAGGTAGGGCTTTGGGACATTTTCTTTTTTCCTTTATTGGGCCTAAGAAAAGAGGATGAACATTTACTAATATTTTTCAAAGGCTTTAAGCGCCCCACCTAGTATAATGTTGAGGACCATTGCTATGCCCGTCTGGGGTACCGTGCGCATGGCCCTCGATGTACGGGATAGAGCGGCTGCGTGCATGCATAGCCGGCTCTCTTCATTCTGTTGCTTATGGGGCTCACTCCTAAACCCTGAACCCTCTTTAAGAAGCCCTCAACGTGAACCAGGTTCGGACGTAGCGACGTAGCAGAAGGCCTAGCTCCATTTTTGGCTGACTTGCATATCGATGCAGCGAGGTTAAGCTGTGGCGTGGTCTCTGTTGTCGAGCACAACCTGGTGAGGGTAGATATCCTAGGTAGGATTAGGGAGACCCCTTGAAAGGGGCCCTTCTGAACCCTACTTTCTGGCTCTCTTAAAAGGTACCTCGAGTCTTAACTCCTAGGAACTTACGGCAGCTCCGCACGAACCCGGGAGCAGATACCAAAACCTCACCACCAAATATTCTGGCTTACCCAAAGGGTCCAAAGTACCTATACGGTAGAATGTAGGGTTTCTGTATTGGGAATAACTATTATGATTTGGGGAAGTATCCCCCCGTAACAGTACCTAGGACCCTTTGGGTTAAAAAGTTGATATCGATATTCCCTTACCGTTCCTCTTGGCATGTGGTCCTGAAGTATGACATAGCAACTAGAACAACATACACCGATTCCCTGCTAAGACTATCAGGGCCCCTGTGCTATCCGCCAAGCAATGACCACCCTGAAATCTCTCTTAGCTCGATTGCCGGGTTTGGCATCGGCGAACGAATCTGAAATTCGAAGCTCCAGACCTTGGGTTCAGGGTTTTGGGATTCAGGCTTTGGGGTTTTAGGGCTTAGCGTTTAGGGTTTAGGGTGGCTTTGGGGTTTTAGGGCTTTGGCTTGTTGCAGTCTTTTGGCAGAGTAGCCTTTCCTACCGCACTCAAAGCGCGACCTTTAGGGCCTAAATCCCAAGCCTTCAAGCAAAGAGCCGACAACCCCTCCCGGAAGCAAGGACAAGTACGTGCACCCCTACATGGACTGGAAGGGCGAGAAATACGAGAAGGACACGCCAGGTTGTGAGACCACGACCACCAAGATAAGTAGACCGCAAGTACCAGCATCCTGTGTATGAGGAAACCGAGAAAGAACCCTGATGTTTCAAGAGCCGCTCGTGTGTTCAAGCCTTCGCCCGAAAGGGCACCCAAGGCTGGGATGTAGCAGATACTCCCCTCTTTCTCACTGCTAGTGCAGAGACCAGCACGGATCGCAGTTCCATTTCTCTTGAGGGTGTTTTGTCAGGTTTCAGGAAACATTCTCGGGGTGCTTTGATACTGTCCAAGCTCGGCGACCTAGACTGAGACTTGAGGAATCACCCTGAACCCAAGTGGGTTTCACCAGAGTTGTGCAGGATTTGATTGCGTTGCAGAGTGTAGGTTCTGGAAACGAGGGTTCCTTATTCACTTCCCTTGTATTTACAGTATAATGGATCAAGGAATCAAGGATTCTACTTTGTTTGGGTCATATACCCCAAATCTTCCCAAGCCTTAACCCCTTTCGGTTTCTGAGTTTAGAAGATGTATAGGGGACGGACTATCTACGGCTGCGAAGGACCAGTTAAGGCTTGGAAGGTTGAGGCTCAAGGCTCGGAAATAGAGCTTTTGGGGTCCTGCGCCCAGACCTGGCACAGTTTGCAAAACTCACAAGCCTCAGTTGCACAAACCTTCACATTCGCGAAAACCGAACAGAGACCCTGTTTCTGACTGAATCCCAAACCAAGTGCTCAACCCGAAAATCCTGACCCCCCTGACCCCCCGTGCAACAGAAGAAAAGGCAGAAGTTTCCAGTTTCGGCAATGAGAGCAGGAGTGGCTCGAGAATCATCCGCCGGAGCCCAGTGATGCAGCCAAAGGCGCAGGAAAGGGTGGAGGAAAGAGTAAGTCTTTGTCCTCCTTTGACGCGAGCCCAGCGGAGACGTGAATGGAGGCAAAAAGATGAGTTCCCCACTCCCTAAACCCTGAACCCTCTGGGCTCCTCCTGCTGCTGCTCGGGGAGTCATTGCTGTTCTCTCCGGACAAGGGGTCAGAATGCCTCGGGCAATAGAACTGCTGGAAATGATGTGGGTGGTTGTCAAAATTATGGTCCCTTTCTGGGTCCCGAATATAGTACGGCACCTAATATCTAGGGTATTCAAAATGTGGACCATAATTTTGACAACCACACATGTAGATGGAAGCCCTCACAACTGAGTGCAGCGCAGGTGGCTCATGGCGCAGCTCTTTCTGCTCAACAGAAGCTTCCTCCGATTTTTTGGAGCCTTCAAGTTAAAGCGTAAAACAACACACGCATGCGTCGAGCTTGATGATCATAAGTCACGAGACTACTTGAACCCCCAACCCCCCATCGTAGCTCAAAGCCCAAGTTTGTAGACAGAGCATGAGCGCATCGTCCTGATCCAGTGCCATGTTGCCGGCAAGGGACACAGAGGGCTCGGTCGGCCTTGTGGGTTTACTGTTTCAGGTTGAGGATTGTTGCAGGTTTAGGGTTTAAGGTTGAGGTTTGTTGTGGGTTTAGGCGTTTAGGGTTTAAGGTCGAGGTTTCTTGTGGGTTTAGGGTTTAAGGTTGAGGTTTGTCGTGGGTTTAGGATTCGCGGTTGAGGTTTGAGGGTTGAAGATTCAGGTTCGGGTTTGAGGTTAAGGGCTCAGGGATCTTGTGGGCTTTTGGCATTGGGTCGTTTACAGCAGGGATGCTCCATGCATAGGTTGCCGTTCAGGAGCAAAGCGGGCTTTTTGGCCTCGGCGCTCGGGAATCTTGTCATGTCGGAATCAGATGTGATTGTGGACCTCACGAAGTTACGACACATTAGCATCGCAGTGAACTTTCGAACATACAGTACTTGTTGAACACCGGGTTTGCCATCAAGACGACTATGATGCAAGATAAGCCTCATGTTATCATTTTTCCAAACCCTCTCAAAAGCGGATGTTGGAGCCGACACCTTAAATCCCAAACACTACTAAACCCTAAACCTTTCATTGTAAACCCTAAAATCTCACGAGCAGAGGATGCCCAAGAAAAGGCGAGAGAGAGAGAGAGAGTGAAGGGTTTAGGGTTTAGGGTTTAGGGTGAGAGAGAGAGAGAGAGAGAGAGAGAGAGATTCATAAGTTCCTCTTCTTCTTTACGGAACCTATTTGGGAGTTTCCGAACAATGGGGGGTACCTTCTTTTGGGCTCCTTCTAGCAAGGATCCTACTATTTAGGGTATTATGTTAGGGTCCCCTAGTTTCGGAAACTCCCATTTCAAGCCTCGGAGCAGTCTTGAAGAATCAGAGTTGTTCTGATATACGACTCAATTGATTCGAAGCTTGGGTCCCAGTCAGTCTCAAGCACCCACCGTTTTTGGGCACCTTGCTGTAGCATCTTTTAAAAACTTCAGACTTTGCAAGGGCCCAGCGAAGCCCTGCATAATATATAGATACACATGTATATAGGCGCACACAACCATGCACATGTCTATCTATATATATATATATATACATATACATATGTATTTGTATATACACACATATGCATGCATATATATATATATATATACATATATATATATATATACACACACGTATACACACCAACTCCTTTCGTCCGTGAACTGGCATAGTCGAACGGTACAACGGTACTACAGACGGTACTACATGCACTTCCTTTTCCTGTCGTATCTAAGCCACAGGTTCTGTCAAAACAGCTTTTGCTTGAGGAGCGCATGAGTCCTAGAAGCTCCGATACCCCTTAGCTTTGTGTACAGAGGCATTGGCAATGAGGGTTTTGGAGGTATACAATGATTATGAAAGGAACCGTAAGGAGTCGTACTAGCAAGCATGAGATCCCGTACTTCAAGATCCCTCATTACGAAGCCTCGCCACAACTCACGCAGCAGATGTAAGTGAAGGGTTTTTTGTTTCAGTCTTTGTCGCTCTACATCGCAGGATGGGAAATCTGAACAAGAGCCTAAACCCTCAAAGAAAGGCCACGTTCCACACCATCTTCGGTCTTCGATACTGAGCCTTAAAGACCACAAGCACTTCAAAAGCAAAAGCCCTGAACCTACATATATATATATATATACACACACAGATATCTCAAGACTCTGGAACTCTAAACCCAGAGGACTAAAACCTGGTACAGTAGCCCTCACAAGCCGTAATTTCAATGACTTAGGTGTGGTTGTCAGATTTGCGTGGGGCATTCTGGCTACTCGCCGCAGCCGTCGCGGCACGGAAAGCCAGGCCGGCCATGTAGCAGATGGAGATGATGTTATTTTGTCGCTTGCTGATGCAACGAACCATTGTATCGTCGATACTAGTTGTCATTTTCTTCTGGTGTTGTTCCTTAATATCAGTAACGTATACATAAATAGAGAGTATATACATAGATAATGCTCGCAGTTCATCTTTCTGTCTCAGCAAGCTACCATAAGCTACCATCTCCTTGACGCAAGCATGGATGTCCACTGTGGTTTTCCTCCGTATCGTGTATCCTTGCAATTATTAACATGTCTTGCTGAGTTGTGACGACGTAAGTTCATGCCTGTGTCTTGCGAGGCGATGAACACGCAAAAGCTCCACAGCGCTGAAGCGTCCCCAAACCTAGACTCTAAACCTTAAACCCCGACTGAAAAAGGGCCCTTAAAAAAAAAAAAAAAAAACCTTAAACCGCAATACCTTAATCCCTAATCCCTTAAACCTTAATCCCTAATCCCTTAAACCCTAAACCCCTACACCCGATACCCCACACCCAGAACCCTTAGACCCTGGACCCCTAATCCCTAATCCCTTAAACCCTGAACCCTTAAACCCTGAACCCTTAAACCCTTAACTGCAACGCCGACAGCCAGGCTCCCAGTCCCGAGCACTGCGCTGTGGATCCTGTCAGGGACATGTACCTGGGCATGAAGGGCTAAGTATCAGCGTTTAGGGACTTTGGGTTTAGGGGCTTTGGGTTTAGGGGCTTTGGTGTTCAGGGTGTGGGGTTTAGGGGCTTTGGGTATAGGGGCTTTGGGGTTTAGGGTTCTGGGGCTTTGGGGTTTAGGGTTTGGGGTTAAGGGTTTTGGGGCTTTGGGGTGTTGGGGTTAGGGTTTGGGAGTTTGGGGGTTTAGGGTCGTATTCCTGAGGGTTCCTTATATGCTTGGTTTGGCATGCAACTCCGGTGTTCTTCTGCGACAGGATGTGTGAAACTTAGACCTTCCACCACTACCCTGTACTATAAACTTGTGGGCTTGGGGCAGGGATGTTGGTTTCGAGGGTTAGGATTCGAAGATTGAAGGCCTGTGCTAAAATTCGTAGGGTTGCAAGTTCGGGCTTGCCCAGAGAGCCCAGTACCCCTTAATTAAGGAAATTTGGCTTAACTTATATAGGGCATATTATTATGATTTAAGCTATATTCCTTAATTAAGGGTTAATGGGCGCTCTGGGTGGGGATTCACAGATTATAGGTTGTTTGAAGCACGATGACTTCTGAGTAAGCGATGAAAGCTCAGTCGTGTGTCAGATGAGTTGTCAGTAGTGGTTGAAACCTAAACCCTAGTGCTCGCAAACCCTTACTAGTAGCTTTGATCCCTGAGGATATAACACTCAAGCCCTTAAGCCCGAAGACTTTAAGCCCGAAGTACAATCCTTAGAAATTTAAACCCCAGTCAGGCTCCTCCAAAATCGGCACTGCAAAAACCACTGCCATACAGTCCTGAAAATCCAAATGCTCGTGACCGAATGCTCTAACAGCGCAAACAAATTTCTTTAAAGACACTAAGCTTACTAAGTGCTGGTGTCTACTGTGCTCCCCCCTGAATGTCCTTTTCGACAAGAGGATACCATGAAGTGCTATTGCGAGTTTAGGGAAGTTCGACATGGGACTGAGCAAGCCCCTAGTCAATCTAAGCATTAAATCTTGTACACCTCCCTAACTCCGATGTTCTATGCCCTCAAATCTCGAATCCTGGCCGCATGAGCCCTAAGCCTACAAGACCTTGACCCCGAAACTCTCAGGGATCAAACCTGTGTCACAGAACCAACTTAGGCTTTACTTGGAGGTTCAGGGGACTTAGTAAGTAGGGTTATAAGTACTTTAATTCGGGTTATAAGTAAATAGAACTTTAGTCTTTAGTTACTTTACTTATATCTCTACTTACTAACTCCCCTGATCCTCCAAGTAGTCCCTAAACCCTTAAACCCTTATAGTACCCCTATAGATCCCTGCAAAGAGCCCTATAGATCCCTCTAAGGACCATAAGGTAGGGTTACATCACGGCCAGGTTCGGCCGGCTTGGCCTTCAGCGTGCTGCGCTTGGCGGATGATGACTGCATGCTGTAAGGAACTGGGAGTTTCCGAACATAGGGGTTCCTTTAAGGGATCTATAAGGGTTCTATAAAGGATTTAGGGTTTAGACATATTAGGGAGTTTCCGAAAAACAGGGTACCCTAAGAAAGTACCCCAAGTAGTAGGATCCTTTTCCAAAACTAATGTCCCCCTAATTTTCGGAAACTCCCAGATCTGTGGTTCCCAGCAGAGGGACGGTTTTGGGAGTTAGGTGCCATCATCCTGAGCATGATCATCAAGATCATTGCCAGTATGAGGATCAACATGTGCATCATAATGCACAATCTTCAGCTGTTGCATTTGAGCCGGCCAATGTCTGTTTTTGTTTAATCAATGTGTATAAAAGTGGAAATCCCAGAAAGCTGAACTCTGAGCTTGGAGCTCACGACTTGAGGAACGTGAATGCCTGAAGCATCATCTTGAACTCCATAGCCTGCAGTGCTGATTCCTAATGCCGTTATTCAGCCATGAAGCCGAAATCCTGCAACCCACAACCCTGAGGAGGTCTTATATGACGTAGAGTGTTTAGCATTTACGGATTCGGTGTTTGTAGTTTTGGGGTTAAGAGAAGACAGCTGCTCCTGCAGAGTGAGGGCTCCGGGGGTCTGTTTT